TTCACGAGGCAGTCATACATCGATTCTCACGCCTCACACTGGGCTGATAAGATAAAGGAGTGTATTCTCGCCAGCTTGCGCCGGCTTGGTGTAGCCAAATCTTCCATTTGTTGGTGAGAGCTTGCAGAGAGAGTTTCCTAAGGGACCTGGAATGGTCGAGGAGGCAGACTTGGTAACTGTTATGTGGGGTCTGTTGAGCATTTCTCCGTCCGTCGCGTCCCCTAGACGGGCCAAGGAGGGGCCGCGAAGATTTTAATTCATAATAGGAGGGGGAGGAGAGAGTGGTGGGCTGGTGCGATGAGGTGAGAATGCTAGCGAAGGAGCAGGGGCGGACCTAGGAGTTCCGGGGGAAGGGGGTCGGGAGGGTCGGAGGCGGGAGCGATGAGAAGGCGGAGGCGGAGGGTGAGAGTAGCGAAAATGCTGAACTGTCATAAATCATTGAGCGGGTGTGGATGATTATCCTACACTATGAGTACAAGGGGTGAGGCAGGGATGTTTGTGATTTGGAGTTTTAGCTTTACTTGCCTTTTTTTGTTGCGGCATGCCATCTAATCACTCACTCCTTCTGAGTGATATGCCTCGCCTTTTCGTATTAGACTTTATCTGTCCACAGGAGTGCTACTATGATCGCATAAGACTGTTGTATCCTTCTTCATGAATGATCACTCGGGTGAAGTAGGCTATAATATGTTGGAACTATCCGCAAAAGCCCGTTAATATTCGTACGTGTCGGCCGAATTCTCTATCGCCGAAATATTTTCTATCTACTTTTCCTTCCTCTTCGTGGTGTCCTATTATGTACTGTGCGGTGACTCGAAAAGTCCGACCTAATCGGATAATCATCTATCATCATTCCGGTGAAGCAGCAGATTACCACCTCACTTGTAGTGCCTTTCTAAATTCTGACATGTACCGGGATTTTCTATTCTTACAAAGGAGCTGTACACGACAAGTTGGGGTAGGGATGGGGGGGGGATGAGGAGAGGGTGCGGGAGGGGGAATGGGGGGGTATGTGGATACTGGCTGAGCGGGGAGGTTGGATAGAAATAAATGTAAAGAGCAATTAATGTAGACACCAGTTGTGAGACTTTCATCCCTTCGAGGTCTCGAGGAGGAGGCTTCTAGCATTGCAAGCGTTTTGTATGGTCATCAGTATGTATTACTGTCACTTTAATATTATTTATTTTGTTATAATTATTATGTTTTTTATCGGTCAATTAATCACAGACACTTTGGAAAGATGAGAGAACTTTTTTTCCTAGATAGGTGTCTTTGGACTTTGAAAAAGTATTGTTTAACGGCCAGTTACGGCAGGCTCTGGCCCTGACCAATCCGGGCAGGGTTTTCCCGGAGCTAGCCTAGCAGGGCTGTGGGCTACAGTCCCTCTTCTTGGGATCATATGGGATCCGAGTGATCGAGCATGATTACTCCCTTTTTGGTGAGTTTTCAGGGTTGCGAAGGACAAAATCTAGCAGATTGAGCAGATCGCGGAGATTCTGCTCGGTCACGATCTGATTGTGTTCATCACTATTTTACCTCAAGTGGATACGTTGAACATACCTTCCCTATCGTTCCTGCACGGTGTGTAAGCTCCCAAGTAATCCTCTTGCTCGACCCCCGGGCTATCTGTCTTCTAGCTTGGGAAATTACAGCATGGTGTCCTACCTATCGGAAATCTAAAATGTCTACTTATTTTTTTTAGAGTGAACACTTGTATTTAACCTGGAAATGATGATAACAAGTCTGGTTCTGGGGTGGGGTCGTCGAGCATCATAACTGGGTTGAAAACGCCAAAGCAAAATGGGCCTTTGGAATTATGCAATGCATGATAATTTCAGATTGGAGGGGTTCTTATTTATGCGGCTCAGCTCGGTTGTTATTTTAATAGCCAATACGATGTCCAACCAATGGCTGACTCATCATCTTCCTATTCAGGTTTAGGGGGGGAAAGGGATTGATCAATTTTTGGGGTGGTTTTGTGGTGTAGAACCACGAAACCGCATTAGGATTGTAACTTAATTACCAGTAACTCAGAGGGGGTTGCAGGATCCTATGATACCACCTGTCTCACTCCAAATTTTCCGAGATCTCCTTACAAGGGTTCCCCATAATTTTACGCCTCCACAACTTGTCCCGCGTATCATATACACGGTAATTCTTTTCCAGATCTCCACATCACGGCATACTGGTACTGGATTCCAGCTGATCGTTCCCCAGATTTCGAGGCTGTCACACAGCATCTCAACCCAAGCGAAAAATGTCATTGCCAAGACCTGTCGCCCCGCTTAACATATTATGATCCTCTCAGAAACCCGCAATTTTTAACTCTTCCTCTGAAATTTACCTTTCCACCGCTGCCATCTGGGAGCCACAACCCTGTTGCATCACATTCCACAGTTTATTAATTCTTACACCATGATGACAGCTGCCAAGGTTATTCAATGCATTGCAAGCTTCTCTCGTGCTTCATCCGGCCCTGCTGCAACACTGCAGAGGGGATTGATAGCATAGCTGCGCCGCGGATTCATATCTTTGAGCAGGAAGGACGGAGAGGCAGTTGTAAAAGCAGATGTTAAGAATCGGCGAATAGATGCGAGTAACTTTATGAATAAGACTAGACTCAGGCCGGCAGGGGTTGCTGTTGGGAATGGCCTGAGTGTGAATGTGATGATGCCCCCATCTACCGGTACGTTCCTTTCCCCTTCCATTTTGTATTTAGTATTAATAGCAGTGATTGGGAAAATAACGGCCCAGGCGATTAGGTATTCTCAAGCAAACCACAATAATGGACGAAGGATCTCGACCAATCTATCTTGACATGCAAGCTAGTACTCCTATGGGCCCTTGCGTCCTCGATGCTATACTGACCATTTATACTTGTCGCAACAGAAATTCTCATCCACCTAGACATGCCTATGGCTGGGAAACAGAGGCGGTGATTGACATTCCATGTCAGCGTATTGCAAAGCTCACTCGAGGCCATCCAACAGAGATCATATTTGATAGATGTTGATAGATCGAGCGCACGCGGAAGAATGCTGTTGGTCTTAATGAAGTTTTGGTAAATCGTGTTGTTCGTTATCGATTCAACTATGTAGAGAAATTGTCTGCTAGTTACACACAAACCCGAAAGATGCGCAAAGCATTGTCTACACACAAATCAGGACGATGCCTACTTCAATGCCACCTCAAACCAATCCCTAAGGATACCAGACCTAACAGCTCTCTCATACACCACAACACTACAACGGGATTATTCCATCAATATTCACCACTGGAGCCACGGGATCGAATGATGCGTCAGTCAGGTATGTAGGAAGGTTTTACAAGTCAAAGAAGTATATCATCGCATTGCAGACGGAGCACAAGTATATGTTGGATTTGTGCCAACACTTGCAAGATGAGGGGTACGAGATCACATATCTCCCCACCAAGAACAACGGTTTGATCAGTATGGAGCATTTGGAGAAGGAGATCTGCCCCATAGCACTAGTTTCAATTATGATGGTCAATAATGAGATCGAGGTCATCCAGCCGGTGGAGGAGATTGGGGAACTGGATAGAAAGCAGGATATCTTCCATACCAATAGTGCGCAAGCCATGGGCGAAATTCCAGTTGAACCCAGCAAGCAGAACTTCGACCAGATGAACATCTCCGGCGCCAAAAAACTTTGGGCCGAAATGTATCGGAGTTTGTTATATCCGCTGCGGACTAAAAGTCAGCATCAACCCGCTCATCTCTGGCGGAGGTCAAGAGCATAGTCTCCGTAGCGGAACTCTTGCACATTTATTCGTGATTGGCTTTGGAGAATTTCATAGAATCGCCCAAGAGGGGATTGAGGTACTTCCTTCCTGGCCCACTTCTCCTGCCTGTAAGTGATTAAAATCAATGTAAAAACTAGTATACACGTACACCCGAACCCTCCGTCTCCCTGAACTCAATCTATTCCTCTAGCGTGCGAGATGACTACATACGCGAAATCTATCATAACAAGCAACCTAAACAATTTACTAGTAAATTGGAGGATGTCCGAGCTTGGCAACAAAAGAAACGTGCCCCCCATCCATTGCCGAGCCATCGCGAATATTTTCCTCCACAAATACAATGAATACTCCTCCATTGAATAAGATGCAAAGCACACATTATGATACTCCAATAAGTTCTAGAGTTTATACTTTAAATGACTTGGGATTTTCAAAGCATGAAATTTCATGACGTACCGGTGTGCCACAAATAACCATTTGCCGATGAGTCAATTGACCATCTGAACGCCACAACAAGACTCGATCCAGTCATCCATCACTTCCTACAACACACAATATCCATCTTCTGCTTCGCATACTGAGGAGTGGATGGGAGGGTAGAGTGCTTTCATGGACAAAGCTGGCAAAAGAAGCGGGATTGTCAGTCTCAGGGATGACTGTTAAGTGTGCCCTCAAACATGAGGGATATATACAGTGTAAAGCCTACAAACAGCCCTATACATCAAAAGAATGTCAGGAGGACCGTCTTTGCTATACAATCGAGCATGCTTGTATCATGTTTTAATATTTACTGTTTTACTTATTAATATTAAAATGTATGATACTCGTACGTGCGAGCTGCTCGAGTAATAGTCACCGCTTGCGGGATATAGTTTGGAGATGTCATCATGTCACCTTCACGGTCACCAGCCCAACCTCTATCTTCGCGACATAGGTACCCTGAGTAGATGAAAGATATCACAGACTTCAAAGCACAATAAGTACCTTAATCGCCCCGGTCGAGATCTGTCGCAAAACTAACTTGAGCAAGGGCAAATGTATTTTACAAATAACTTTTAACACTTTATCAGACCCACTGCTATTCAATGCCTGCGCCAAAAAGCCTCGCAAAAATGAAAAGCTTGTAGTGGGATATGATATCGCATAATGTTGAAGCCTATCCCCAAACTAGACTACCCCTCGGCCTCAGTCTCCTCATGTGCATTACTCTAATCCACTTGTTAGCCATCCGGCTCTCAACCAAGACATAAAGTTATCACGCAAACCTTATGCTTAGGTGTAAAGTGAAAGTCACTCGGACAAGGACCCAGAAACATCTCAGATATCTTGATCCAATCCTTATAGTCCGAGCCACCAAGCAAGCACTCCAATTCATTTCTTCCCTTCCATGGGGGAGGTCTGTCCTGAATCCGAGGAGGCAACCTCTCGAGAATCCCAATGGGTACATATCTGCATCCAAAGCTGAGCCACTCGAGGAGGAATCTACGGGTAGTAGCAACACCGAGTTCGTCGCTGCCCCAGCATTCAAGACCGTATCGAACGTACTCACGAATGTAGTCTAAGCGCTCGGTGGCAGACTTATCCAAATACTGACCTTTTTGGATTTCCTCAAAGAGCCAGGGTTTTATCAGAGCTCCCCTTGCAAGCATTACTCCATCAACGTTGCCTTGATCAATGGAATTATAGTAGTCGACGTGAGAATAGCAATCACCATTTCCTACAAAGAAGACATTCGGTTTATCTCTAGCCTCCTTATCAATCGCTGTGTCGGCAGTTGTGTCAGACCTCCGCTTAAGATCTTTGATCAGCGCCGCAGTCTCGGCAATATACGTCCAGTCGGCATCCCGAGAGTATCGCTGCTGGCGACTCCTGCCATGAAGCGTAATAGCCTGGACATCCCCAGCATCGTAGATCCTCTAGACAAGTTTCTTAGCAACGGGCGAGGAATCTCGAGTTCCTAACCTAATTTTACACGTTATTGGTGTTTCCCCAGAGACATAATTCATTCCTTTGAGCATCTTGATTAACTTGGATGGCTGATCCAGAAGTGCACTACCTCCACCTTGACGGTATACAAGGTCAACTGGGCATCCACAGTTCAAGTCAACAAGTGACAGCCCATGACGAGAAGAGGCGGCCGATGGGAACAAAGTTGTCAAGACTTCTGTCGCCCGAACCGCCGTTCCAATCTTAGTGCCGCAAATCTGAGCACCAAAATTCGGAATTTCAGAGGCATGGGCCCTTAATAGAGCCCACTCTGGCTTGTGGCCCTGGAGGAGGGGAACAGACATGGCCATTTCGGAGTAGGTAAGGGCAGCACCAAGACGAGAGCATAGACGGCGGAAAGGAAGGTTGCCCGTTGTTCTAGAAACCCATTAGCGTTAATCGCAATCGCACTTAAGCAGGGGCCCGACCTACGTTAAGGGAGCCAACAACGGCGTTTCCTTTCCAATGTATATTCTTCTTTTCTCCGCCGCATTCACGGGTGCATCCACAAAAGAAGCTCTGGCATCGCCCTTGTCCTCGTAACCCAAACCATCCCGTGTAGTCTTCTCTTTATGTTCCCATTCCGCATAAATCTCGCTCTTCTTAGTCGGAAATTCGTTCTTCCTCAGCCGGATCTTCAGGCTCATCGAGACAGAATTAATAATCTCTCCATATGGTCATCAAAACCCCCAATAGGGACCTCTTCCTCCCACTGCTGCGGTCTGTCATCTCCAAATCCTATGAGAACCTTTGAATTGGCAAGCTTTGCCTTCCGTTCCTCTGCAATCTTCTCTCCATACATCTTCTTCTTTCCCTCGTCAACAACCATATATAATTCGCCATTCTCATCTTCCTTAGAATGCGACCCAACCCATCTACATCTCCACCCACCTCCGCAATATCCTCTTAGTTCCCAAACCGGACAAACTCCTTCGGAATCATCCCGCTTGCTCTTCAAATACTCCCGTAGATTGTGTGAGAAACCGCACTTTTTCGACAACCCATCCGGCTTTACCCATTCCTCCTCTTCCCTCCCCTCCATAATCTTATCCTCTCCTGTCGCCTTCCCCACCTCGACTTCTTCCTTCTTCTTCCGCCGCTGCCTCGCCTTCTGACCCTTCGGCCGAGCATTCAACGCGAATTCACAAACAGTCCCCTCTAACAGACCCTCCCGCGGAACCATAACAAGACTGTTACACAGTTTAACTTCATCGCTCGCGAAATGGAACTTCCTCGCTTTATTCTGTCCGCGCTCGTGTTTACGTTTTTTCCCTCCGCCACCATTCTCTGCCTCTTGGTAGTGGTAGTGGTGGGCAGCCCCGACTGCGTCGTCATCTGCGGATGCGGATATGGCTTTCCGAGCCTTGGGGAGGAGGTACCTGTGCGCAGGGAGAAGACTACTGTTAGCACTATTTTACTCGAGAACCTGGAGGAGGGGTGGAAGGTAAGTACTCTGGTTTGATGTCAGCGACGCCAGCATGAGAGTCCCTGGTGTCGGAGAGCTTGATCTTCTTAGGGGCGGGGGATGACACTTCTTCGGCCGCCGGGCAGGTATCCGAGGGAGGTGGTGATGCCATTGATTGTGCTCGGTTTTGGGAAAACCTTTGGAGGGGTGGATGCAGGCGGGAATGGTGGGAGCAAATTCGGGTGTCTGGGTCTTTGTTGGGGGGAACTATTTTCTTTTCCTTTTGGCCGGGCGATTGATAAGATTAGATGGCTAGGGTTGCAGATTCTATTCATCCAATGACATCCATGATCCATCGAGTGAATTTCCATGACCCAAACACACGACCTACTCTAGACTAGTCCCACAACAGAACAGAACTAGTAGACCATACTCCGGAGTCCAACCGCAACCCCACTAAAAGAAATGCACTGCCACCTGCGAGGATTCTCACAGTACTTGTAGTAACCAGGAGGAAACACTTCTAACCTCAATTGGTAGTATTAGGTGTGATGGGAAAAAAGTTAACAAAACACAGATTCCGGCATGTGGTAGTGATCAGAGGTTCATAAAGTTTCGTTGTGGTACCCTGTTAAATCTACATAGGCACTCTTATCTTGCAGCTAGTCCTTCTGGAGACTGATATCATGTGCCCCGAAAAAAAAAAAAACACTGCCACTAGGTACCTAGTGGTTAAATACGTCCTTTGAAACGGTAAGAATGATCATATCATTGTTCAATGGACTAGACTACCCGCTGGTCCATTGACCCACGGAGATACCCTCTTTCATAAAAGAAGAAGAGAGAAATGCATAGACTATGCACCATTCACCATAGTCCCAAAAAATCACACCAAATTACTTCATCCCCCCCTCCCGCTCTCCGCGGAAGGCTCTCACTAGTCCATGATATTGGGAACGACCTATTCCACCATATAAACGCACCCTTCCCTCTAGCAATCAAGCAGCAATATTCCACTCTACCCTGCGCCGAATACAAACAAGCACTTTACAAACAAAAATGGATATCCAAGGGCGTTGCCATTGCGGAGAGCTCGAATGGAAAACCAGCTTCCCGAACCGTTCCCTGCCAGAAAAAACCATTTGTCATTGCGTATATCCTCCCTCGTTTCCCACTTTTTTGCTTATAGTAGCGCTGGCTAAATAACCCACCAGAATACCTGCAAGTGCTTGGGCGGTGGTTGCTACTCAGTCAACATGGTGGTTCCAAAAGTACCCCACCCCTCCCCCATTCTCCCCCCCCTTCTCTCCCCAACCCGCAACGTATGCTAACCCAACCCAGGGCTACGTGGAAATAACCAAAGGCAACCCAGGAAAATACACTTATATCGGTGAAAGCGGAAACCGCGTCCATTGCGTACGTCTCCCCTCCCTCAGCCTTTCCCTTCCCTCACACCTTCTAACATAACAATTAGTATTACTGTCCGAAATGCACGACGCATGCGTATCACCACCAAATGGTCTCCCCCGACAATTTCGTCATGCGCCCGGGGCTTTGGGACAATGAGGCAGCGCAGGAAGCTAAAATTGCGAGGGAAGTTTTCGCGAGACATCGGTGCCCGTTTCAGCCAGAGATTGGGGGTGCTACTGTTGAGGATTGAGGTATGCTCCACCCGCGCGTGTATATAGTGGTTGGTTGGGTGGTGTAGGGAAGAGAGGAATTGTATCGTATGATAGGACGTTAGTTTGTAGAAATCTATTTTGGCGGGGATACATCCTGTGGTATTTGAGGTACTGGATGTGACGATGGGTGACGTGCATTCGACGATCATTGGATGACTTTGACTTGTGAATTGCGAATTACCGGTATGATGAAAGGCATGATAATATATTATGATAGAGGAATGGGTAATTTCAGCGCTGGGACGAATCCTCGCAACCTTTCTAAGCTATGAATACAGAAACCCCCTCACCCACCTCCCTTCTCGCTCACCACACACTCAGTGCTGCTTGTACTCCTTCTGCAGTAACTTTACGATAGTCTTCAGTTGGATATTGCTAGTCCCCTCATAAATTGCACCAATCTTTGAGTCCCTCCAGTACTTCTCCGCCAGTCCCTCCCTAACGAAACCCATTCCACCCATCCATTCGATCGCACTGCCACTAACCTTCTGCGCGACCTGGCTAGCATAAAGCTTCGCCATGGCGGCCTCCCGTACGAAGCCCTCGCCGGCACGGAGACCGCCAGCTTCCTTCGTTCGGACGGCATTGAAGAGCAGCGCGCGCGCAGCCTCGATTTAAGTCCTGCCTTGTGCGATCTGGAATTGCATTCCTTGAAAGTCACCGATGTATTGGCCGAACTGCTTGCGCTCGTTCCAAACGTACTTGACGGCGTTCTCCCAAGCGCCCAGGGCCAGACCGGTCATTTGGGCAGCGATACCGATGCGGCCTTCGTTCAGGAGGGAGATGGCATATCTATCCATCGCTCTCGACAACGTGCACAGAGGGCAGAGGATGGTGAAAACTTACTTGTCACCTTCTCCTTCCTTCCCAAGTAGATTCTCTGCAGGAACCTCAACGTCATCGAATGTCAAAACACATGTTGAACTAGCCTTGATCCCCAACTTCTTCTCTTTCTTGGCGATATTGAACCCAGGCATTCCTTTTTCAACCACGAATGCCGTTATTCCCTTGTACCCTCTCTCGGGGGCGATATTTGCAAAGACAATGAAGATCTCACTCTCGGCGGCGTTAGTAATCCACATCTTTTGTCCAGTGATTTTGTATGAGCCGCCGGATTCGGACTTGACGGCTTTAGTTTGCAACGCGAAGGCGTCACTGCCAGACGCCGGCTCCGAAAGGCAGAAGGAGCCGACGGTGCCCGTAGCAAGCTTGGGCAGGTACTTCTTCTTCAACACCGCAGAACCGTACGTGCGGAAGGCGATATTGACTAGAGTGTTGTGCACGTCTACCAGCACGGAGACCTGTAGTTATTACCGGCCGCCGCCAAAATCAGCACCCTGACCCTCCCGAATGCCATCCCCCAGCAGGATGAGTACTGGACTTACGGAAGGGTCGATCCTGGCCAATTCTTCAATCGCAACAACGACCGCTCCAAAACCCATTCCAGAACCACCATATGCTTCTTCAACTTCGACTCCCATGAGACCTTGCTCGAATAGCTGCTCCACGATGGATTTGTCCATCATTTCATTCTCGTCCATCTCCCTTACCTTCGGGAGAATGACTTCTCGGGCGAAACGGCCCACAGATTCCTTCAGCATGTCCTCTGTCTCGGTGAAGTGGAAGATTGGCGTAGGGTTTACATCGGAGAAATACCTGCGTGGGGTATTTTGTGCGGAGAGTAATCCAGGTCGTAGCAGCAGCGAAGGGCGACGAAGGCCCCTAGGGATGGCAGTGTGGAGGGCGAGGGTAGACATACTCGCGTAGTGGCAGCTAAGTAGGGCGGGTAGTGGGGGCGGAGGAGGTGTGTAGGTGTGAACCAGTATCGGTGCAGAAGGATGAATGGAGATTTGAGTGTCCTGGTTTAAAATCCTCCAGCAAAGAAGTTAGGGAACAGAGGGAGGAAGAGAGAAGGACAAGAGAAGCGGTCGGAGAGGAATAAAGGGTACCTTGGGAGAAAGGGAACGTCAGATATGCTCAAGCGGAGTGGGAGCGCCAAGCGCCCCACAAGTATAGTATAGTACCTACCTTGTGCTTATTGGCGGGTAACCCGGTGCTGTGCGCCCACCCCATGCTCTCCCGGACACGTGCCGAAAGCTTTTCACACCCAGGGTGACAGGAGAGTGTTAGGTTCAATTACGTAGCTGGGTGATATATTGTTGATCTAAAGAAGGTCGCCAAGGGCCTTGGTTGGACTAGGAGGGCATTTTTGGCTCAGATGGAGGAGGACAGCAGGGTTTAGTGGGGTGTATTGGTGGCGGTGAGGGGTGGGCCGGGTGGGCCGGGTGGGGGTGATTCAGCCTCCATACTTTTGTGATAGTGGTTCTCACTTTTACGAGTGAGAAGTTATGATTTCTGCGATGTTTAATTTACGACGGATAAACCCTTTACTCATATCATACATTGCTGATTGCAGGGCGACTGATTGGTTGGTAGGCTGGGGAGGGGCTGTTGGTGTGGCTTGTATCGAGCGTCTACTGTGGGGCTTATCTGATCCTTGGCTGCCTGACACCTCTCTGCTCTTCTTCACTGAATGTACTGGAATGGCAAAGGTGGGTTTCCCATTCCATTCCCCTTCTCTTCCCTCCTCCTCCGCGCCAGCCCCCTACCGCCCACCTCCTACTCCCTGAAATTCTATTCTTACCCAATGCAGACATAATGACCCCAATAAACTCAGATTGTTGATGCTACGGAATCTATTCTGCATCAACGCTGGATGGTTGAGGGCGCTAGTAGTTAACATAATTGAGGCTCCTCCGAGTTCTGGATGAAGGACCTTCTGGTCTGAAAGTGCAGGGCATAAGGCAACTCCTACGCTGTAGCTTACAAGAGAGCTAAGTAGTCCGGTCCAATACAATGTTTGTGATTCATCCAAGCTGTTAATGCAAATATCCACTGCTATTACTTCCTAATCACCATCCTCAGCATTACGATAAGCACGGGAACTTAGTAGCTTACGATATGGAATAACATTGTACCTCATCGAACGCTTTACATATATATCTCTTGCCAAGTTCCCTCCCCCCACAAACTGTCCGAGCATGGCTTCAACCCTATTCAAGGTGTCATAGTGTGTTCCTCTCTGTCGAAGCAGTCACAGCAGAGCCCCGTAACTATGGTATCTTGTCCGCTGCCGTAAAAATAATCGATTACTTGAGAGATAAAATTGCTTGTATTTGGCGACGTGCGCTTTCCCCAGCGGTTTCTTGTGTTACCCAAGATGAGACCTCCTACCTAGATCACCAATAACAAAATAATACAGAGTAAAAAGATCTATCCTCTCCTGTATCCTATCCCCAGAATTCACTTGTATGAAATATCCATTGTCCCGCACCCTTCGAGTCGGCTCACCCTTAAATGTTGATTCTGAGGCACAAGTAGTTACAACCGCTGCAGGACTTGAGCCTCGTCATCCGCTATGGCTGTGCGGAGTATTTGGTTGAAACAATTGACGTTGAATGACCCATGTTCACATTACAATTCATACCACCTGGAGTTTGGCCGATTTGAGTGCATAGGGAAAGAGGATAGCTCGGGATATTAAGGCGGTTAACAGTCTCCCCATGATCGAAGATAGCCACCCAGAGAGGTGAGGCTGCGAGGTGCCACACACCTGCACTCTACTCGAGTATCCAACTGCCCCACGGCAACCCATGCAAAACGTGATAGTTTGAGAGGTGGAAAGAGTTCTGGTTTATCCGGCTCAGCCTCCACAACACTTACTGTATCATACCTAAGTTGGGGTGACGGTAGTGGGGAGAAGTCGATTGAGGTTAATCTAGATTAAAATTACATCATTTTCACCACTATACCTTCCTCAAACTACGGCGAGACCCTTTTCTAATACTGGTTCACTTTGTCTGCTCTAGTTTATTTTCTTCCACTGATTTTCTTATATCACCGGTCTTGGAATCGTTTTTTTTTCGCATTTTTTATTTGGGAATACAAACTCGCTCTCACCCACCTGGCAGAAGTTCAAGATGGAAATTTTCACGAAGAGAAGGAAAGGGGCGGAGAACTTGAATGCAAGAGGAAAGCAAGTGAGGAATAGACTGTTTATTCTAACTAGAAGTATATTGGGGCTGTGTTTGAGGAAAACAATTGAAGGGTAGAAAGGTCAGAGCGTTACACTAGGAATGGGGGAACAGAGAAAAAGGCAAAGGGAAAGGACTACTCGTACAGGAATACTGAGGAAGAAATAGGAGAAAAAAGGGACCTCTGAGACAGCAGGAACTTTGTAGAATTGCAAGGACACGAAAGAAAGCGGAATAGCTACCATGGTAGCTCCAAGGCGCGGTGATGCAGCGGAATAAAAGCAACAAAACCTCATGACTTATTGGCGACTGCGGCGTTGAAGGCTTGTGGTGGTCTCATCGCTTCCTCACCATTTCGTTCTAGCAGTAGTTTCACAATCCCCTCATGTCCGTGGTGGGCAGCGAGGGTGAGTTCTGTCCCACCGTCAGCACTAGGAATGTTTAGGTCTATATCTTCTCGCTCCAATAGCAGCTTGACCACTCCGTCATTTCCGAACAAGGCAGCAGAGGTAAGCGGTGTACGGCCGTCTTGGCCTATGGGGTTAGGGTCGACATCCGCACCTTTCAAGAGTAATTTTACCATTCCCTCTTGTTTGAGGCGAGAGGCTAGGACAAGAGGTGTTTGCCCATCGATAATCGGAGAAATGGGGTCGAGATCGCTCCTTTTCAGTAGTAACTCTAAAAGTGCCTCATCCTCATAGTGCCCAACTCGTGAGAGGGGAGTTTGACCATCGTTGCATGCCAAGTTAGGGTTGACATCTTCTCTTTCTAGTAAGAGTATCACCACTTTCTCCAACCCACGTTCAGTAGCCACCCATAGTGGGCTTTAGCCATTACTATCCGGGATGTCGGGGTCAATGTTTTTGCTTTCCAGGAATGATTTGACGAGATCATCCCTTCCTTCGCTGCTGGCAAACCAGAGTAGTGTTTGGCCATTACTGATAAGTTGGCTAGGGTCGATATCTTTCCTTTGCAGAAGTAACTTGACAATTTCCTCGTACCCTAAATGGTAGACATACCAGAGTGGTCGTGAGCCAAGATCTGTTTCTTTGTTTGGATTAACGTCTTCCCTTTGCAGGAGTAACCGCACAATTTCAGTATGTCCTTCTGCTACTGCACCCCAAAGTGGTGTCCAACCACGATATCCTTCTTTGTCAGGGTCGACCTCTTTCCTGTCCAGGAGTAATCTCACTATTCCCGTATGTCCCCCGCCACAGGCATTGGCGAGCGGTGTCTGGTACGCCAAAGTGTCTTGGCTATCAGGTTTGGCATCTTTACACTCCAATAGGAGCTTGACAACTTCTTCATGTCCTCCCTTTGCGGCCCAAGCGAGTGGGGTTCGGCTGTAACTGTCTGCCAAGTCGGCCTTGACATGTCTTCTTTCTAAAACCGGATCCATCTTCCGTAGTGTTTTTCTCCCGCAGCCGGTTGTCAGACTTTTAACTTGGGCTGGTTGAGGTATATTCGGTATTTTGGTATGTCGGTTAGGTGTGATTGGTTGGTCGTAGTTCTAGTATTGGGCGTTTGCGGTGTCAACTAGATCAGCTTCTGT